CCTTATCACCCACGAGACTACATTCTTTTAACGTTACAGTTTCATCATCAGTTAATTCGTCCTTGTCTTGTGCATCCCAAAGATGTATTTCTGTCTCATTTTCGAGATTATTTTTCTTCCTAATACAGGATTTGACAAAACCTTTAGAAAAATGAGAAGTCAAAGGACCCCACCTATAGTTTTGTGGGAATGACAATTGAGGACGAAATTGGCATAATTTTCACGAGAAACAAGTTTAATTGAAGGAGGGTAAAGATCAAAAGTATATTCATTTTTATCCGTCTTGTAAATATCGCGCCAAGGAATGTCACTAGATAGACCGTCGATACCATACCATCTTGAGAGATTATTAAATAGGTCTTCTGTTATGGCCTTCACGTCAACATCGAGAAGAAGATTACTTTTGAGTTTGCCGTTTTCTACGTTTCCATTAAGCACAAAAAAATAGACGAACCCATAATCCGAGAAAAATTCACAGGACCAGGGCCACAGTCATCTATGGAAGGACTTTGGCAGTTTAATTGTTCGGGCCGACATCGTCCAATGTATGAAACCCATTTATTAAACCAATCCTGAGATATGAGAACACTATTTTCATTAAAACGTAAATTCAATACTAATACCATTTTTTTGAATCAGAAGGATCAGTCTTTGAAAATCCTCCTTCGCCATAGAAATTATCATATACTCGACGCTGTTCATCCAATTCTACAGAAGTGTCACTCATGCTCCTAAAATGCAACTAGCGAACAAAAATCACGAATTTCCAAATGCGTACCACCTACCAAGTGTGTTAAAAACGATAATGCTTGCAGTTACAGTGGGATTCAATAAATTTTAAAGATCAAGAAAAGAAGTTTGACAACTCTTATAAATATAGAATTTCATCTGAATGGAGATAAGATAACTGATTTCGTAATGTTGCACAATTGATTTAAAAAATATATATTATCAATTGTAATATGCCAATATCATACTAAATCAAGATTAAAATATTTAAACCATTTGTCAGGCATAATATACCTTGATATTGAATTTCTTGAAGAAAATTGCTATGAACGATCTCTAATGTTTTCATGTTTTTATGATAATTTTTATCAGCATTGTTTACTTCGCTACAAAATATGACTATAATCATTCAATGTGCATCGGTGTTTGTGCATATTAATGCCCATATTTTACATTTAGTGGGAGAATTCGAATTAGCATATGGTCAATAATAATGATCCTGCTAAAGGGGGTATGAAATATAATTGCCTCGTTGAAAATATTAGTGGAGTTACTGAACTATTCATATTCAAAAAATTTGAGCTAACAATGAGAGTACTGAAAATTTCATGATAGATATGCCTTATAATTATAATAGCTTTAAAATTTATAACAAAGTATCTATACCAATTTATTGTGGATATTATGGTTCGATTAATGAAAATGAATTAAAAGCATAAATATTTGAGTTTTATAGTTATTTCTAACTTTAATTGATGACCAATTAAAATTGACAATATAATGGGCTATGAAATACCTACATTGTTAATTTTTGATGATAATTATTTCTCGTCGAAACCAACTACTAATCAATCGCTGATAGGCAATCTTACTCAGTTCAATTGGTTCAGGCATGATAAAATTCTAAAAATCTCTTTGAGTACTCATTTTTACTTTACGATAGCAATGCAGAAATTTGCCATGCGATTTTAATTTTACTTCAATATATCTATCTCCACACTTTCTCTCCCTTATCAACTGTTTGCATCGTACATACATTAATCAAATCTTAAATTGTTGAATTATTTCATTGTTATACCTGGAATTTCAAATAAGCCTAAGTTTCCATCAAGTGTTTTAGTAGAAATGACATTATATCAAATAAATACTCCAAACTCATTTATTTCATTTCGAAAGATCGTACGTAAATCCAGTCGCGGTTTTATGGTGTAACGTATGTTGCGACAATATTTAAAATGGGCACTTAAATTGCATAAATTTATAATGGGATATTATGTTTGAATGATTTTTTCCTAATGTAAATTAATTTCGCTTTTCGAAAAGCTAGTTAACCCGAAAAATAAACAATAAATTATGAATTGCGTAGTATTATTCATAAAATATATAGGAATATTGTTTGCAGCAATTTGGTCAAAGAAAGTGTTCATAAAGGAATGCAGCGCAAAATTAAGGGAATGCTTTTAAACCATTTTCAGGCATTGTGTGCTACCCTCTCGACGATTCCAGTAGCCTAAAGAGGTAATGAAACTACCATGACTGAACAAAGAATTCTCATGAGCATCCAGACAGGCTCAAATGTGTGGCCATGCTACTTCTCGCGTAGAGAGCAAGTGCGGTCATTAGCCCAGAGGCTTCTCAGCCAGCTACCAATCAATAGTCTCTGCGGGCTTTAACAAAAAACTCATGGTAATAAAATTACAAAGCTCCGCAACTGTGAAAACTCAGCCCAAAAAACATATTCCACGCCTTTTTTCTCTACAGCTTAGCGGTACAAACCTAAACATGGGAGCCATTCAATTTTTGACTTTGAGAATACTTAGCATTGGCCAAGGCTTATTACTGTAGCAAGCCGCTATGACTAAAAGCTATTTCCATCATACCAATTGAAATTACATATTAGATTCAGACATCTTACACGTAAGGAATTGCTTAATCAATATTTCATTTAATATTGATTAATTAAAATGTTTATTGAATGGAATAAATGATCTTTCAAATATCGACACCAACAGAAATTAATTGAACTAAAACTCAGGTTTGATCATGGAAGCCGAAAATCGATTCAGTTCATGCAGAAATGGTTCCAATTAAGGAAAATTGGTGTTATGTTATGGATTAATATGAGTGCAAAAGAAGAACCAACGTAGAATTCTACAGTCAGCATTTCTATAATTTATTTATAATGATTATAATTAATTTGAAAAATTACTTTTCGAAACGTGATGGCATTAGCAATACCGGCTTGTTCAATTACGTCATTATTACGGTGGACCTTTTGAATACTACATAAGCGTGCCGCACCTCTTGACCTGTTTCTTCAGTATTCACGTGACTCCTTGGAGTATGTCGACTGAGGAAGTTATTGATACCCCTTTAGAAGGTAAATTCTATTGCCTGTATGACACTTTAAGGCTCTTCTTACTTACGTCACTTTAATTATGATTATTCAAAGCTGGATGAGCTTCCGCTAACCAAATGCGAAGCGTTATTGGTTTGTTTCCGTTTTAATCTTATTTGTAAGACGCCTGCAGGGAGCTTCTATAGAACTACATCAAGGCGCGACGTCTTCCCTCTCTTAGTGAATAAAAACGTAGGCATAATTTAGCGTTTATTGTTTTAGCCTATTTCTCCTAAATTTCCATGTATTTTGGAAGAAGTACAAAACATTATTGACAACTATGAAGATTTATTCTATAATCTCCGCGAAGTAAAAATGGAATCTGTTAGAGAGTTATATTGTGCTCATGTTCTTAATCATTCCTTGAAGTATGGGGCAAT